TGCAATGTGGACGTGATGTCACTTCGGAAAATATTTTAAAGGCTGTACTCAGTGTAATCCTAAAGCGTAAACCTATTCCATAACGCTCTGAGACATCTACACGAATGTACCGTCATTCACTTTTATTGATTTCATCTTATTACCGACCCTACTTGAGAAGCATACTGTAAACAAACCAATGTTATAATTTGTGTATTAGGCTTGTAAAAATAGTGTACCTGCTCTGACAGAAATGTATTATTATTGGCAGTAGTATGTTTTTGAAACTCCGGCTACACCTACAAGGAGAATGGGTGAAAGTGGCATGTAAAATTCTTAAGACGGGTAGAGAACCTTTATTTGAGGACCCATGTGAATTTGTGAAACGGCAGTCGGATACTACCAACACCAGATATGGAGTACTTGTAAGTGGACATCGCTGTAATCGCAATCAAACGCAGTCTTTTGTTGTCACTAAAAGAAACCTTGAATCAGAGTATAAGACGAGTGTCGTTTTCTAGCACGAGTGAGTCTGATGTCCCTCTACACGTACGATCAAGTACTCTTGGGTTGTCATGTTAATTATGTACCGAAAACCACTCCAAGTTCAATATGGAAGCTTTAGAGATGAGGATGTCAATGAAAGGATGGAGTTTGTACTAAGGAAGTTGTGTAATGTCAGTCTGAAGGCTGCGAATCACAGAGAGAGAAACTGTCGAGCACCGTGGTCATGTACCATTGAAGGATGTGGCTGGAAACATCACACCTCGTTACACTGGAAGCGGAAATAGCAGAAAGACAGTGATAATAATGCCCACATTAATACCCAAATTGGTGCTGAGAAAAGTGCTAAACGTGTACAGAGACATGTGCCATTTGCAACAGTGCCTGAATTGGTAAAAATAAAGAAAGGGATGTACAGACTTGTGCTTTCCAGTATAGCAGCTCAGACGCCTCACTTATTACAAAAGATGTAGCTAGACGGCTGGGTTCAGAGAGGGAGTTTAAGACGCTCTTATTATAACCCCTGGATATCCAGTCCACATTTCATTGTATAGAGGTTCAACTAGAAGTTTCCTTCTTGAACTCTTCTTTACCACTCAAGATTCCAAAGGTATGGACTGTCAAGAGATTACCTATGTTACGTAGGGAGGTGTCAGCGACACCTCACATGACATCAAGGTCTCATTTGCATGGTGCGACCGTGCCAAGAGCTAAGAATGAAGACGTCAAAGTACAGATAGAGTGCGATTCACCTGCGGCACATGAGATAAAAGAGAAGAGAGTTGGAAAATCTAACGAGCCATATGCTATAAAAGCTCCTTTACAGTGGGCGTTTTTTGTACCATACAGTGAGACAACCAAATATGTGAATATCATAAGCTATCTATCATCTAAGAATGAACTAGAAGCTGGATTAGACCAGTTATATAAGATAGTGTTTTGAAGATCCATATCACCATGTGCCCATATTGGTTAAAGGCCGTAAAGCCTTGAACGCTATGTCCAAATTTATACAGGTAGTAGGCGGGAATTAACAATTAGTTTGCCCTGGCGTCATCAACAAACCCTACCCGATGATAGATAACCCAGGTTCATAGCTTTTTGTTGATGCCTCAGAATTTGCATGTGATGTTGTAGCGTATGCTTGTTTTGAAGATCCCTCTCGTCAAATTCATTATCCCCTTCCATTAGCTAAGTCCAGGGCTGTACCACTGAAACCTATAACCATACCTGGAATGGAATTAACAGCCGCCGTACTTTGTGCTAAGATTAAAAAACACGGAACAACAATTGCGTATCCATATCTCTTTTATCACTTATTGGACGAATTCATTAATTTTACCTCATTGTATAAGAAACACAACCAAGAGACTTGAAAGATTCGTTTACAGTATATTAGCAATGATTTACGAACTGTCCACACCAAGGCAATAAAGATATATTAAGAGTAAACAATCCCGCGGGTCATACTTCGACTGGATTATAGGTAGATGATAGCATTAAACTGAGTAGTTTCATGGACCGAACATTTTACGGCAGAAAAAACGTGGCTGTCTAAATTCAGGCAAACAGGAGATCCTTGTTTTTACCCGTTTGATGACGGGCGAAATAGTAGAAATACCCACGCAGAATCATTTACATTAATTTTTGAATCAACTTAGTATTTGTGAGACTTAGTCCAAAATCCTAAGAATTTTCGCTATATGCATACAGTTCGTCCACAATATGAGGATGAAATTGGACATAAGACCGTTAATTCTTGATAGATTAAGATTAGAAGATATTGATAGTGTGAAGCACAATATAATTGCATTAGTTCAGACTCTCCCGTCCACCATATATATGTAAAGTCGAGGGCTAATACAGCATAAAGATGACCACAATATTACATGTGAATCGCAAGAAAGACAGAGGAGAGGGGTAGATGGATCTGTTACAAATACAGAAAAGACTCTATCTCGTCCCTGATGGTAAGATAATGAGAAGTAGCGTTGCTCATAGGAGCCTGATAAAAAACCTTAAGTTCTACGCAACAGATGACACCAATCGAGTGGTGGGACAAATTCAGTTATCGTGCTTACCCTTCGAAAACGAACATCTTCTCATACCTCCTAGTAATCATTTTTTTTACTGAATTTATGGAAACGCAATATGACTTACAGAACGAGTAATCTGGTATTAAACGCACTTTAAAACGACCTCGTGAATAATTCTGGATTATTAAAGCCCAGGCTGATATCATAAGAGCCCTAAAGTGGTGCATCTTATAATACAGATAAAACACTGCCTCATGCACACAAATTAGGGTTCCATTACCTGAACGTCACCCAAAAACACACACACCACCAATAAATGCCCTTGGTATAGACTATGTTAGACCATTATATGCTGAGAGAAATCAAGTCGTTAAAATAGATACGATGGTACGTTCATTTGCCTCATAAGTAGAGCAGTTCAAATTTTCGGAGCACTTCTTATTCTCCCATAGCTTGATAAGGACATTCCCGAGTAGTAGGCTTTGTCTTTGTAAAATTCATATCTTAATCCTCTCACACACTTGGTTGTGCGTTTCCGTACTCGGTACCAGAGGTAAAGTCCGTTTTTTCGACCACATTTAGAGTGTGGAAACATAGTCTTTCCTCCCTCACTCCGAAAGGTATGGAGGCACAGTGGAGCGTATCCAGCGGCAAGCCAGAAAATCAGTTCGGGGACATAATAACTGAGGAATTATAACTATGTATCCTGATGATTAAGTGACTGAAAACGATTTTCACTATTCTTTGTTTTAGAACAGATAGGCTTGGACTAATGGAGTATAATATTATCTGTTTAATCTGGTAAACGTCTTTTTAGCAAGATTATTTCCTACGGGATAGGGTTGTCGACCCCATGCCCGACCCTCCTCCTTTACCCAGACTTGGGACCGAGAGTAACTCTAGAAGAGCCACAGAGGAGTTCATTTGAATATAGACAGTATTTAATAGGAAGCCACTAAAATACCTGAAATGTACATAACACTGAGACGCAAACCCAGAGGAATCAGTTAGTTTACACTAGCCTGTCAAAAAGGAGGTCGACGCAGTGAAAACTCAAGCTACCGACCAGTGGCCCTTCTCTCCATACCTTCAAAAATTATGGAATCCCTAGTATTCGACGGCATACTAGAACACTTATCATCCTCAAAGTTCTTCTCGCCTCAACAGCATGGTTTCAGAAAAGGTCATTCTTGTATGACCAACCTGCTGACTGTGGTGGATAGATGGACAACCATCCTTGATCGCAAGGGGAAGGTCGACGTCATCTACCTGGACTACTCAAAAGCTTTTGATAGGGTCAACCATGCATGTCTTATCAAGAAGCTTGCACGATTGGGTATAAAACCCCCTTTAATTGATTGGCTCTCTTCATATTTAGAAAACCGACACTTTAAGGTCAGGGTTAACTTCACTCTCTCTCAGGCTATGGAATGTCCTAGTGGGGTCCCCCTGGGTTCAATACTAGGACCTCTTCTCTTCTTGATTTATATTAACGATCTTCCTCAACAAGTTTCATCTGATTTATTGCTTTTTGCCGATGATGTGAAACTTTGGAGAGAGATGCGTAATCATAATGATATACTAGTTCTTCAGGAGGATCTGACCCGACTTCAAAGTTGGGCAGACGACAACGGACTTACCTTCAACACCTCAAAGTGCAAGGTAGTCCATCTGAAACATGTTGCAGACTATAGTTATAACTTAGGTAACTCCCCTCTAGAAGTTTCCCAAGTTGAAAAAGATTTAGGAGTGTTGGTACCGTACGACCTGAAATCGTATGCGAACTGTGACAAAAACGCCTTTCAAGCTAACCTTGCACTGGTAACATTGAAGCGCATTTTTGGCCAGTTTGACGGTAGAACCTCCCATATAATCTTCAACAGTTTTATTCGTCCCCACTTAGAGTACGGAAACATAGTATTCCCTCCCTCCCTCCAAAAGGATAAGGTCACTCTGGAACGTATACAACGTCGAGCCACGAAATCAGTTCGGGGTCTCAAATTCAAACCTTATGAAGAGCGCATCCAATCACTTAACCTTCTTCCGTTAGAGTACAGGCGTCTTAGAGGTGATCTTCTTATGACTTATAGTATCTTTAATACTTCTGGTCATCCCCTTAGACAACTTCTTAAGCTTAGTCATAACACTAACCTCAGAGGTAACACCCAGAAATTGGAGACCCTACATAGCAGAACAGACTGCAGACACAACTTCTACTCCGTTAGAGTTGTCAAGTGCTGGAATTCGCTGCCGACTGAGCTAGTCCAAGCGACCTCCCAGGAGTCCTTTAAGAGAAAACTTGACTTATTCTTAAGGACTAAGGATAACATATTATTATGATTTACCAAATTCTTTTTTTCCCTCTATTATCGTTCATATACCTAGGTTCTTGCCTGGAGGTATTGGTGATCCACTGCTACCAGACACGGAAGCCCGTTAAGCGAAAGCTTCTTCTATTCCGTCCTCAACCATTTGAACCATTTGAACCATTTGAACCATTTGAAAGGTATTGGATATTGGAAGGTCACGAAGGTCTCGTCCTTTATAATGTATTCAAACCCATCGCTATCAACCTCTGGTTTCGATTGCCGAACCTTAGACTCAGGTCTGTATTAGTTTAGATTGTTGTCGATTGATTTCATTCCTAAATTTAAGTGCATTATGTGTGCTTACTGAGTTGTTGGGTCACTTTCCCTCTTAGTTTTCCAGTCCAGATTCTCCCTCATTTCCATGGTATATCAGGTACCTTTAGGCTAGGCGCAAACCTTCAAAGATATGAGATTTACCTTAGTAACGCATAAGAAGCCTCAGATCTAGAATTCATGATGGATGAGAGCTCTTTTGCAAAAAGTCAATTCACTTGTCAGTACTTCTGCTCAATTAAGGAAACTAAAGAGTAGTACTGGAATTTAAATTTGTAATATTAATCATGTCAGTTCACGGTTGGCTGTGCAAAAAAGATGAAAAGACGGAAAGTATGCGGATGGCTGTGATTTACATTTCAGTTAGTGGATGCGAGCTAGAGAGTCTTATCATCAGGAGTTTCACAAGAGACAACTTTAGGTCCACTCCTGTTCCTGATCTTTATTAATGACCTGTTGAATAAAATTAGCTCGTTGGCACTGATCTAAGCAGACGGTGCAAATGTCTGAAGGTTCATTGAAAACGAAAAGGATTCACTAGGGTTTCGAAAGGGCCTTACAGAAATAGAGGGAAGGGAGTAGACAACAGACTAATAGTTAACCTGTTGAAATGTCATTCCATAACCATTCTGCTTCATTTGACACAAAGCACTTATACCTTGCATGGGAATCTGCCCCCTGTTGTCTGTTCAGAGCGTGGTCTTGGGGTTGTAACTACTTAGTAGACACCATCTCAAAATACATAGGGGACGCAGCCAAGGCAAACGCGACTCCAATTTATGCGAAAACAACTTGACGCGTTCACCCCATAATTGTCTCTAACTCTCTTTAAAGCGTACCTACAGCACCAGTCTGAGGTCTTCATTGTTGTTGCTCAACTTTAAAAATATTCAGATTTGTATAGTAAAGTCAGAAGACATATGTCCTTTCTTATTCCTTTTCTAGTATGCCTCTGTGAGCGTACAGTCTTCCATTGAATGATGCAATTGAAGGTGCGGACACCATTGCTTCGGGTAACAGATTCCAAGAATTAATGACTCGGTGTGAAAACCTGTATGCCACGGGTATTTTATTCGTTCTTGGCTTTTCTACTCGCCTTCTATGTCTTCTGAAATGTCCCGCTCTAGTAAGGAGAAAAACGAGAATATGTTAGGTCCAAAATCATTTCTTAGCATTCTATTACATCAAAATCAGATCACCTCTTAGTCTGCGATAGGATAGAGTAAAGATGTCTAGCTTTTCAAGCCGCTCTGGGGGGGGCTTGCAGTCTGAACACAGTTCTCAAGCTCAGTTCTTAGGGTTGTGTATACTGTAGTGAACATAGTAGTATTTAACTTGATGAATGTCCATCTTACAGCCCATAGGGTTTTAAACCCCTTAGCTGCAACCTCCCGGCAATGGGCCGTGGTCTTAAAATCATGACTCACTGTCACCCCAAGATCCTTGTGAAACCGGACCACGGGTTCAGGGACTTCACCTATGCTGTACCTATTTACTTTTGTATCCCCAAAGTGCATGTAGACACACTTTGCCGCGTTTATAAGCCTCAGCCACTCTTTAGACCAGTTAATCACAATATTCAAAGTTGCCTGAAGTGCGTATGCATCTGCGTCTCCCATCATTTCTCGCCAAACGTTTACATCGTCAGCGTATAATAACATTGGGGACTCTACTATACTTGGGAGATCATTTACATACAGCATAAAAAGCAAAAGACCCAGGACAGAACTTTGAGGTACTCCACTCAGTACCGGTCTTGAGGTGGAGCACTTCGAATTTATTCTTACTTTCTGTCTACGACCCACTAGGAAATCCCTAAGCCATTTTAATAGAGGTCCGGCAATACCATGATTTTCTAGCTTCAAGAGTAGTCTATTTGTTGGCACCTTGTCAAACGCTTTGCTGAAGTTTATGTAGACCACATCCACTGATTTTCCGTTGTACAAAGTCTTTGTCCAATTTTCCCTTGTTATAGGGAGATTTGTTGTGCAAGATAAACCTTTTCTGATACCATGTTGTTTGCTTTTTAACAAGTTGTTGGTTTCCACAAATGTCATAGTGGTCTTCTTGACTATTCTTTCCAGTATTTTAACTACAACACTGGTGAGGCTGACAGATCTGTAGTTCGATGGAAGTTGTCTCGATCCTGTTTTGTGTATGGGAGTGATGATCGCATCCTTCCAGTCCGAGGGTAACACACCTTAGTCAAGCGACATATTGAATATCACAGTCAGTGGGGCTGCGATATATTGTACAATATGTCTCAGGATTTTGAGGTGTAATTCATCCGGTCCTGTTGACTTTTCCATGTCTAAGGTGCTAAGAGCCTCAAGTACATCTTCTTGATCAGAGTCCACGGTGAGCAGACGGTTTGTTGATTTTGTATTTGGGTTTAGTTCTTCGTATAGATGAGGTTCCTGAGTGAAGACTGCCGCAAAGTATTTTGCCATAGCTTCTGCTTTTTCTTGATCGTCCTCTATCAATTCAGATCCACTTCCTTCCTCAATTAGGTTGGGAATCCAATGATGCGTCCTTCTTTTGTAACTTATATACGAGAATAGTCTCTTGGGTTGCTTGAGTGCAGGTTGTGCCGACTGCACTTCATATTTCCTCTGAGATCCCCGGATTTTAATTATACACTTGTTTCTTACCGATCTGTGGCGTTCCATTGCACTTGCTGTGCCAAGACTGATGGCAACATTCCAACATTTCTTTTTTCGTTTTAGTAAACGTCGAATATCCCAGCCTATCCAGGGATGGCTGTGTTTCTTCTTTGGGACTATCCAGGGTATATATGGTTGAGTTACCCGATTGTATATCTACCTGAAATATGTCCATGTCTTTTCTACTGGTGCCTCTAAGTCGAATTCCCAGCCTTCCGCCGATGCTTCAGAGTTAATTGCTTCCGTGTCTACTTTCCATATGTTAGGACGAGCAGGTGCAAATGTTTGACAGGCCATCTCAGCCATGAATTTGAATAAGATGACTGCATGATCGCTTCTCCCTAGAGGTGGCAAGAAGGTCATTTGACCGACGTCGTCACCGTGTGTGAAGACTAAGTCCAAGAGGGATGAGGAGCTTCGTAAGTCATATGGGGTGAGATCTCTAATGTGTTGGAACAAAGGTAATGCAATTGAGGTTTCTAACAGCTTGCAATCTAATGACATTATCGATGACCCTACTTCCAAGTTTACCCAGTTTATATACGGTGCATTAAAGTCACCTACTATAAGGCTTTTACCCCTATTACACCACGACTTAAGTTTGCTTAGAAGGAAGTCATCTACTACATATTCTGGACTTCGATATACTACAACTAATTTAATATCTTGCCGTCTACATTTCAGCCTGCAACGCACTAGTTCACATGTCCCTGAATCGTATGCCTTTGTCTCAACAGCTCGTATGGTTAAGTACTTTTCGTATATAGGACATACCCGCCTCCTCTACTGTTTGGTCTATCAGCGTTACTGGATATAAAACCAGTCAACTGGACTTCATTATCAAACACTTCTGATGTTAACCATGTTTTTGAAACAACAATAACATCCGGTTTTTCTATATCTACCATTGTCTTGAGCTTTGTCATTTTGTTTAGTAGGCTGCGAGCATTTGTGTAGCACACCTTTAATTCTATGGAGAACTTTCCCTTACCACCCAGAGTGGTTTGGGGGTGGTTTTGCTCCGAAATTTTAAAATGTGAATACCCTTAAAGACGAGGTTTCTTTCACCGTTTCGGCGGCGCCCATTTATTTATACTTCTGCAGCTCGTCTCAATACGGTTGATCAGGCTGAGATCCTCTCGGACGTATATTCCGGATCTAATCAGTTTGCGTAAGTTTCCCAGTATCAGGTTTCTTTCCTCAACGTAGCAAAGGTAACCTTCAAGAGGTGGCTTTTCTGATTACTTTCAGAATCCACCTTTTGTTTTATTTTTTAAGGCTTACAGATGCTAACTACTGCAACTGTTTCCGAGAGTAGCTTGCTTATTAAGGACTTCACGTAACTGAGATCGTGTTCAAATCTAGCCTTTGGTTCCTTTTCGGAAGATTCTCTTAACTTGTGAAAAATGACTGACCTATCAGCGAGGTCCGTCTTAACACGTTGTGGAGTTTTAATCCTTGAAATTTTCTCTTCCGTGCAATCCGTTTCCGATTTGACGTCAATCGCAGAGGTCGCATTCTGCTTCCTTACCTTTCTTTTCCTGGGTGTGAATGAGCTACTCATTTGCCTTATTTTGTCTCTTGATCATATGCTCTACACCGCTCAGACTAGGCTCCCCCAAAGTTTGTCTTGCGTTGATATGTAAACCCGCAACTGAAACCGTAGATTAATATACCTTAGTACTGTCAATAATTAGTTTCTTCTCCACGCGCTTTTTTTTCCTTGTGACCATACCTACATCAGTATGCTTGTTATCTGCTTCCCTGATGGGGTCCACCTTTATGGTCTCATTTAAATCCAGAGCTGGGCTCATGATAACGCTCTCTATTTCCTCGAAAGTGGAGTTCTGCTAATCCACTGCTGCCTGTTTATCTGAGAGCATTTTTCTAGTTAAGTTCAGCAGCTTAATCGTCTCAAAAACCAGCAGAGACTTTTTAGAATAACATGCTTTGTAAAGCTAGCGTGATGATTGCTTGCAGCACCTTTTATATGCAGCCGGTGTGAGTCCGGTGCATACATTGTGATACCACTTGTTGCGGTTGTCACATTGAATCGCATCATCGACAGGGAAATGGCATGCAGGTCTGCCACAACGATGTTTTACTTGCGCCATAAGTTTGTTTTGTGATCTCTAGATAGAGTGTCTTTTAAAGCTTGATAGGTGATAGACACACAAACAAAAACAGAGGATTGTATATAACTGTTCCGAACAATAAAGAGATAAAAAAATCCGACTTTTTTAGCTACAAAAAAACATTAACATCTATGGATACATAAAGTACTCAAAGTTATACTCAAC